ACCCCAACAACTGTAAATTTTATACAAAATACCGCTCAATTAGTCCGTTGTCATGTTCTAATTGATTCTTAGTGTTTAAAATTATTTTCGTCCCATTCTTCAATTTTTCAATTCTATACATTCTAATGTAACATAAAATTGAAAAAATCAGAACAACCCAATTGAATCCCAAAACAATCCTTTTTTTGTTATGCAATGTTAAAATACAAAATAACAAAAATAAAAAGCAAAATGTCTTAATGCCAATGTCCCCAATCTAAGCTCTGCTCATCAGAGTCTTTTTTGTTGGGGGACCAAATTGAGAAAGAGAGACGGTAGCTTCTTCCATTGACTAATGGTTGTCTATGAAAGTTGAGATTGATATGCCGAGTGGCCTTGGACCAGTCAGCAGCCCGGATGCCTAAGAGATTGGTGGCCGCCTAAACCATTGTAGGATTGCAATGTTTAACAGTTTGGATATGAATAGTTTGTAGACTGAATCCCCAATGCCTTCAATTAATTTGACCGCAAAGAAGAACCAATCAAACTAGGCTTGGGCACGGATCGGTTCAGAACGGTAGAAGGCTCTTCCGTTAACTAAACCAAAGACTTCGGTAGACCATTTTCTCTTCCGTTAACCAAAATCAAAGACTTTGGTAGACTTCGAATCGGTTAACTTAATATTCGGTTCGGATTGGCCGGTACACTGGTAGTACCGTAATAAAAACATACTAATAAAAATACCATTTATAATACTTTCACATAACATAAGTTCTTGAACAAATACACCAAATTATCCTTGTAAAATATAAAAATCCAATAGTCTAATTCATTCAAGTATGAAATCAAATAACTTAGTCACTATATCATTCATTCAAGTACTGGGAGCCACTTGTGTTTGTTGTTTGAACATTTGAGTGTTCTTTTTATTGAATTCTCTACATTTATGTAAATGATTTTGACATTTTTTCCGTGTTGAGTTCTTTAGTTTTTCATGTTGAATCCAACCATATAAAGAACATAAAATTTGGATCAATGGTTGGAAAGTTACAAGTAAAAAACGGGACAAAGGTCGAACCTGGAAAACAAAGGAAGTTCATAAATTCCTCTCTGACCAAAAAGTGCTACAGTACACGGGTGATAAAGAAGTGATACAATGGTGATAAAGCAGTGATACAATGGTGAAAAAGAAGTGATACAGTAGTGATAAAGGAGTGATACAAAATGCTGATTGTATTTACCTTTGGTTTCTTGTTTTGTATTTAAATAATAAGATAAGTATAAATATCGGATCGGTACGGATTTCCGTCGGGTTAGGAATATTGTTTCCGTTAACCAAACCAAACATTTCGATACGGATCGGATCGGAATAATTAAAATTAAAAAATAATTATTTAACCAAACCAAACTAAACCGTCGGTACACGGATAATTCAAATGAGATGCCCACCCCTAAATCAAACCATCAAATTATTTGCCCTAGCGGCACACTTTGACGCGTTAAACTTATCATCACCAACGTATGTGTGTGTGAATATTGCATGTCAATGGTGGTGGTCTAACTAAGCCCAAGTTATTTAGCCCATTAACGTTATGTTGGAGCCTTAAAAGTGGTTGCGATGAGATTAAGAAGATGAACTAGCCAAGTAGGGGTGGGCATCAATTCGGCCAAACCGATTAAATTATCTAATCTGAATCCCCGGTTTTATTTGACAAAAAAAGAAGTCAAACAATTCAAAATCAAACCTAATCGTAATAGTTCAGTTTGGTTGCTCTTTGAGCATTTATATATCCACAGAAATCGAATTGGACCGACCACTTATTTATTTTTATTTACATGTATAGTCTTTTTATTGGCTAATAACTAGATGGATGTTGAATTTTAAATTTGACGTATACTTTGAAGTAATTGATTTTTAGGTTGTAATTATATTAGTTATTGAAACTTTTAAGTTTGATGAGGTCTTGAATTTTATGATGCTTTGATGTGCTACTAAATGAAAAATAGTTATGCATTTTTCATTTGTCATCAACAAAGTTGAAAATATGCAAAAGGCAAAAAAGGATTGGTCCTAGGCCCATACCGCCCAAACGACACCAACAACAACAAAAGGATTGGTTTCTTTCTTCAATGATTTTTTTTTTATATAAAAAAATTTAAGATGAATCAAATAGTTCATTTGTAATCGATTTGGCCAGAATTTAAGAGTAAAACCAATCTAATTGGACCGTACTCACCCTATAACTAAGCAATCTCAAATTTGGAGAAAGACTTCTATGAAATGGGAATAACACTATTTTATTATCTCCGGTCAATAATGTTATGATACGCATGATAACACTTCTATGTAGCATAGTATTATTGGTCGGAGATAGAAAAACAGTGTTATCTCCATTGCAACTAAGTTTTTCTTCCAAATCCGAACTCCTCTGTTATTCTATTGTATTTTATACGCTAATTTTTTCTTTATATATATTTTATTGGCTAGCTTCACTAACATTTTTACCCTTTACATTTGTCGTCAGGATCGGGGTGGTATCAAGTATCACGTGAAGCATTACACTATACAGAGTAGGGTTGAATAATTCACATGGTAGTGCGCAACTTGCTTGACAATATAAGATGGGGGTTTCGGCTGAGAATGCATTTTTAGGCTACAAAACAATTGAATGTGACAAAAACATATCATTCACATTTACGACTACCTTTTTATTCTAAGCTTGCAAACGCAAGCAAGCTTTAGCATAAGTAACTAATACAACCAAACACTGCACGTCTGAACTAGAGCAGTGTGTTAATCTCCTTGTATTCTAGAGTAGTTTAAAATATCGATGTATAAAAAAAATAATGTAATACCCCGCATAGCAAATGATTTGTAGATCAAGTGGTTAAGAGCATTTATCCGTGCATTAAGAGACCTAGGTAGAAGAAATTTCAAACTCCATTCATGAATACAACGAAACGACTTAAAAATCAAATAGCCAGATCTTAAAGCATGTCATCTTATCAAGATAAACAATACCTACACGAAAACGAAAAAGGTGTGAAACCAAACTAATGTGCCCGTCTTCACAATTATAGGCATATGGAATAATCTTTAGGAATTTGTGAGTCTCACACTCTTTATGTAAGAGGCAAGCACAAGGCATTCGCTTTATAAAAGTTTTACTCATACATGTATATGAAGACAAAAGTCCAATTCAAACTTCATAAGCGTAATTTTTGTTGTTGAGGGAGATAAGGTTGAGCTTATGGAGTCTAATTCTAAAATTGTTTGTGGTGAGTGTATGTCAAAAGAAACCTATTTTTCTTTGAAATTAGGCTTTTTGGAGTCTAATCGTGTTACTTACAAAAGAAAACGACCCTTCTTTGACACCCTGAATTGTGCAATATCCATGGCCTATTTTAATTCGAAGCCTTATTGCCACGATAACGCTATGATTTTGCTCACCTTAAATTTCTGACAATATATTCATAGAAGAAAATGAAGAATGTTTTGTGCATTTGTGGCATTAACCATCTCAACTAGCGAAATATTTCTGACACTTTATTTCTAAATTAAGAGATAATTATTATCTTGAGATATGTTACGGTCGATCGTCTATATAAACTCACGTTACATCAACGATTAAATTTTGCACAATTATGAGTAGGAGATTGACAAAAGCAAAACCCTCATTCCCATCATAGAGAAGTTGGACCACAGGTTCAAAGGAGCTTTTGCATAGATAGGCTTCTAGATCTCCAACAGCCCAAACTGTCAAATCTCTATTATTTGTTATGTCATTTAAAATGCTGACAAAATGGTCCCTCCCTAATCATCTTTCTTTCCCTTTCAGTTACCCGTGTGGTTAACTAATCACCATCTCTGCCTCTTGACATTTTCTCATTTTCTCCTTCTTCCTTCAACTTCTTAATCACCAAGTACAACCTACCCTAGCCAAGCGTTAGGTACATCATGCATCCCCAATAATTATAATTAAATTATCTTTCAACTAACCCCATTAACTAATATAATCAGTCAATTATCTTTATTTATACCTAATTATTTATACCTAATTAAGAACTAATTAAGAAAAAAAATTGTGTTCGCACCCTAATCTGTGTCCTTATCAGATAAAACCCAAATAGGCACACAAAATAATCCACAAAACACAGAGTTCAAGACTTTGTTTTCCTCTAAATTTATACCCAACTTTTCTTATTATTATAAGTTTGGTCAAATCTTTTTAAGATAATTACGTTTTGACCAATGACCATGCTGATGATCCGTTTCGTCGTTTGATTTGTAAACCGAAACCACCAGGTTTTAGAAACGTCAAACACACTAAACGACAATAAGTACGCACTTAAATCACATCGTAAATCGTTATTAACAAGTCCTAAACGACAATTAGAGGGGCTACAAGAGCAGCACCACGCTTGCAGAGGCACGTGAAAGTATCAATCGCTCCCGCTTCGTCAAAAGGCCGGCTTTTTTCAGTGATGGAACGGCTGAGGCACGCGCTTGGGCTGGGCTTTGGAGTCCATTTGTCGTCGGAGGAAATAAAACAAATAAAGAGAGGAAAGGTCATTGAGCACGTGAGTTGCACGTGAGGAGTGACGGAGAAACAAAGATCTTGCCGGAAATAAATAAAGATTGTTGGACTTTGTGTGTATACCGCTCGTACCAAAGTTTTAGGAATCGTTTAACTCATCCCACACTACACATCAAACACATTATCATCACCATTCGGACACTAATACACTCCGAGCGGAACACACCCAAACGAAACCCATTAAGAATTACGCGCGCGATGGGTTTTAGTGGAGGGCCTTTTTGGTGAAGATTGTTTGTTTTCTTGCGGGGGAAAGTGTACATGACGAGGAGGCTCAAAACGCCGTCGTCGAAGCATCACTCGTCGCCACAGCGAGACTCTTCTCTTCTCACACAATAATCACCTGATGTTCGTCCTCTCCTCCTCCAGCTTCAAATACAACGACTTCGTTTCTTCTCTTGCTCTGCAACAACAACACCAACAATGAAGAAGAAGAAGAGAGACGTAAGCAACGGCCACAGCAGCATCAACATGAACAGCGTCATCAACGTCACCCCCCTCAGCGGCGTCGTTTTCAGAACCGCCGTTCTCCGGCGACACCTCCGCCGTCTCCGCCACCACGTGTTCCCCCTCGTCTCCGCCGTCTCCGGTTGCCTCCTACTCCTCCTCGCCGCCTTCTCTCTCCTCGCTCCGTCTCCGGTTCTGCATCACCACGATCACCTCTCGCTCTTGCGTCACTACCATTCCTCGGTACGCAAGCACGCTCTTGATGACCTCTCATTTCCGGTTTTCACGGTTTGTAATGATTTTACATTTTAGGGAAAATTTCTTGTGGTTTTTGAGCTCAGGATGACAATGGCGTCGTTGAGGCCCGGTCGAACTCGGATGAAACGGCCACGTTTCGTGTTCCGGTACGATATTTACTTTAATGGAGCTCCAATAAAAGATGTTGATTTGTGTAGAATTCAATTTAATTTATTTTCGTTTTGATTTTGTTATTTTTAGGAGAGTGGAGGGAGCTCAGGTCGAGATTTATGGAGCACAAGGAAATCGGATTTGTTCCATGGTTGCAGCAATGCCGCCGATAACTTTGCAAGTAAAGTATATTAGATATTACTTATTTCATTTCTGCTCTTTTTCCTTTCTTTCTTTCTTTCTATCTAATGAAGAAGCTTTCTAGTTTCTCTTAACTTGATAATTTCTCAACCCATATTTTTTGAAATTTGATATTCAGACTGAGATTCAATTAAAACTTGATAATTCTTCTTAATCTGGAATATGCATAGCAGCATTGATTGAAGTCTTGTTTTGTTCATTTCATGAGTCATGACGTCATAATTGAATCGATTCTATGATCTGTGATGAATTTATTGGAGAATTTAATTTTGTTTATTAGGCTCTTAACTTATCTGAGGCTTTTGATTTACAAAACCAATGCCTTCAATGTTGCAGCTGCTGATGTGAAAACACATTCGAATCGCTACTTGTTGATTGCTACGAGTGGAGGCTTAAACCAACAAAGAACAGGGGTTAGTTTTTTGATTGAGCTGGAGCTGCATAGTAATCCAATCAAATCCCATCTTAGTTTTCTTCCATTTAAGGCTAACTTATCGTTCTAATTTGTTCATGTAAAGGCTTAAAAGAAATTTAGTTTATAGAACATTGTGGTTTGCTTTGCTTCTTTCTTAGTCTAATTTTGGATTGTTATAAGTAGCTCTTGTATAGGACTAGTTGATTGTACTTTGTAACTTTTTCATTCCATGAGTGATAAGACTGGTTTGTAATCTTGCATGTTTTTGCTGCTGAATCAGCATCTGATGCTTCCTTTCCTGATTCTGTTACAGATAACTGATGCTGTTGTTGCAGCTTATATCTTGAATGCTACTCTTGTCGTTCCCAAGCTGGACCAGAAATCATTTTGGAAGGATTCCAGGTCAGTTTCACCATATCACAAATAAAAAACTACTGTCAAGGTCAATGTAAGCAAAACAGTCAGTGGATTAATATTGTTATTTGGGTATTTGGTGCAGCAACTTTGATGAAATCTTTGATGTAGACTGGTTTATATCATCTCTATCAAAAGATGTTGAAATCATTAAACAGCTTCCTACAAAGGGAGGAAAACCAATGAGTCCATATACCATGCGTGTCCCAAGGAAGTGCAATGCAAAATGCTACCAGAATCGTTTAGTGCCTGTTCTTAATAAAAAGCATGTAAGTGTCTTTCAGGAGAACCTACCACATTTTTGTAAAGAATTCGTTAATCATCATATGCTGGTGCATATAACTGAGGAAGAAAAACTTCTGGTGCTTGAATGAGTGCCTTTCCAGGTTATATAGAATTTACAGTTGTTTGTTATGCTTTCTAATGTGCAGGCTGTTCAGCTCACAAAGTTTGATTACAGGCTTTCAAATAAGTTGGATTCAAATTTACAAAAGCTTAGGTGTAGAGAAAATTTTCATGCCTTGAAGTTTACTGACCTTATTAATGAAATGGGGAAAACGTTGGTTGACAGAATGAGGATGAAAAGCAAGCATTTCATTGCCCTGCATTTGAGGTAAATTGCAAAAAAAATTTAGCTGCTTGAGTATTTTTTTCCTATTGTACATATTAATGTACTGTGAGCAAGTCATGCCTTCGACAGAATACTTGCTTGTGCAGATAATTTCTTTGTAGAGTTAATGTGTGTTTTGTCTTGAAAAATTTTTGAATTTTGTTTTCTTTAGCATGCTATATGTACAGGTGGGTTGTACAGCACAAAAACCTCTATTTAGGTTGTTTTGATAGGTGGAATAGGTTTTGTTCTAGAGTTTTCCAAATTCTTTTGGACTGCATAGGAAAAAGTTTCTGATATTGGTAGACCATGTTATAGGTTTGAGCCTGATATGCTGGCATTTTCTGGATGTGATTTTGGTGGAGGAGAAAAAGAAAGGAAACAACTTGGGAAAATTCGGAAAAGGTGGAAAACTTTACATGTAAGGCTTCACTGATGTCTTGAATGATGTCATTCAATAGTGACCTGTTTTATATAATTTGTATCTCTGCATTATAACTACATTTGATATTTGGGGTTATATTGCATGCAGGCAAGCAACCCTGACAAGGTACGAAGACATGGCAGATGCCCGCTAACTCCAGAGGAAGTTGGCCTTATGCTTAGAGCACTGGGTTTTGGAAGTGATATTCACTTGTATGTGGCATCGGGTGAAGTATACGGAGGTGAAGAGACGTTGGCACCACTGAAGAAACTTTTCCCGAACTACCACTCAAAAGAGACTATAGCAAGTAAAGAGGAGTTGACACCATTTTCATCCTTCTCTTCTCGAATGGCTGCACTTGATTTTATTGTTTGCGATGAAAGTGATGTTTTCATCACCAACAACAATGGCAATATGGCTAGAATGTTAGCTGGTCGAAGGTATTAAAACTTGAGTTCAAGGATACATTTCTGTCTTCTGGTGGAAGGGTTTGATTTGATCATGTTTTGTTTTATAACTAGTTTGTTTACTGATGCAGGAGATACTTTGGTCATAAACCAACAATCCGTCCAAATGCTAAGAAACTGTCTCTGTTGTTCATGAATCGTAATAACATGACTTGGGAAGAATTTGCCTCCAAGCTTCGAACTAATCAAATTGGATTCATGGGAGAGCCAAATGAGATAAAGCCTGGCAGGGGTGAGTTCCATGAAAACCCAGCAGCCTGCATATGTAGTGCATCTAGCAGAAAGTCCAACGAAGTTCCAATTCCTCAAAATGAAAGTTATGACAGCCAGAACGTACATAAGGAGGATGACACGAAAAAGGACAGTGGTTACGTGACAGACGAGCAAATAACTGAGGATGAGCAGGATTGGTCTGAGATTGATTATACAGAAATGAATATAAATCGTTCTCAGGGTAAAGTGCTGCCTAGTGTAAGAGTTTCATATCCAGGTCTTCTACTTAAACCTGACGAACCAGAACTCGAAGAGTTCTTTTCAGACTAGACTGAATTAATTAGGAGAAGACTAGGCTGGATCTCCACCTCCGCGAGTTAGCTGATTTGTCCAAACGAATTCATCACCAAAATTCTTTGCTGGTTTGCTTTGATAGGTTACTTGTGCGCACAAGATTGATTTTGTTACACTGAAGGGTAGTAATAACAAGGACGCACAATGTACATAGAAGGCCTCTGTAGCAGCAGCATCGGCATTGGAATAACAGAATGGAGTCGTAATATAGTCATATTCAGATTTTGAAACTTGTAAATGAAGCTAGTGGAACATCTTTTGCTGTCTTTTTTTTGTTTTTCATTTTTTCTGATGATTCTTGCCGTAAGGCAGGAATGTTTATATGAATTTTTTTTTTGGGTCGAAAGAATGTTTATATGATCCTTGCTCTTCTTTTGTACCTTTTTTATTTTTTGAATTTTTTAAGTACGTGTTCTATGATAGGCATTGAACCGAACGATGGCCCTGCTTTCTTCATCTCCCTCCAATATTTTAATCTTTTGTAATTGCTTTATGGTGATGTTGATAGAAAAACGTATTTCATTTAAGAAATGCAAACTGAAGAAAGGTGCCAATTTCCCATTCCAAATTGAAGCAGAAATAGAAATCCAATTTATGCAAAATTTAATAATGTTGACTTTTAACAATTTAATACTTGAATTCAATGAAGAAATTTACATGGCTTACATGGGGCGTGACAAACTAAACAGCATGCTCAGCCAAAAAGCTTGGCGATGGAGACGGCGGAGGGTTGAAACAAGAAAGACATCCCTAATCCTAAGGCCATCTCCAGCCATGGGCTATATCCCAAATATAGCCCTAAAATAATGCAAAACCCATCTCCAGCCTTGGGCTAAATAAAATTTTGGCCAAATTTGGAGGGCCACATTTGGCCCTTTAGTCCTCCAACCAGGCCACATATAGCCAACCTTTAGTCAAGGCCAAATTTTTGTGGGCCCATGCATTTGTTTTTAAAAGCCAACAATAAAGTAAGATGATGTCATAGCTATATATATATAATAAAATATGAATGATCCTAAAATATAGCCCTGCATGGCTGGAGATGGAAAAATTTAACCCTGCACTATTCTTTAAAAAATTAATATTTTATAGGGCTAAATTTTTAGCCCTGGACTACATTTAGCCCTATGACTGGAGATGGCCTAACAAACTCAAAAGCATCCCCGGCCATAAGTCTTGCAAAGACATTTTTATCATCTCGGGCATCCTCAGCCACAAGTCTTGCAAAGCTCAAATAAAATGAAAATTTGAATTTACGAATCTTGGGCATACAAAGCCCTCTACTTTATCATCTCGGCATCTTTGCCATACAACAGACATATCCCACACTTTTCCACCTCCACCTTGTCCCCCTTTGAATCGCTTTAGTGGTCATAATGACTCCGTACGGTGAAGTCAACATTGACCTCGGTAACAAGTTTGTAAAACGCAGCGGGGCTTCAAGCTCCCTCTACTACTTCAAATTCATTATTATACCACCACAAAACCACCTCAAGAGAATCACTGCTTGCAATTTGCAAAGACATTTTTAGGGAGCAGATGGTTGACTTCGTGGCTTTCACCATTACTAGTTTTGAAGTTGTACTTGCATCCAATCTGCATATACACTGGAGCATAGCTTTTGCCTGCAACAACAAGAGATAGAGCGAAACCCAAGAAATCTGTGCTAAACCAATCACGAGGAAGCTCAAACTTTATTGAACATCCCTCACTTTTATGGCTGAACCAATTTGGGATTTCATTCCCAGAACATCTAATGCCAACGAAAGATTCATGTACCATGGATATGGACATCATAGTTATTTAACTCAGTGAAAAGAAAGAGCAACTTCTTCAACAGAAGTGAGTTAGACAGACAGAGAGAGAGAGAGAGAGAGAGAGAGAGAGAGAGAGAGAGG